GTCATCAAAAGTCTCAGAAAAAATTGTGTGAAAAATTTTATAGCTAAGTGGAAAATACTGCCTGAGTTCCATTTAGGATTTAGACGTGGTTACTATACGGCACTAATCAATATAACTTTTGACATTCTTAAAGCTAGAGACAAAGGTGATTTACCAGCTCTTGCTACATTTCTTTAAGGTTTTTCACATAGTACACCATGATTCACTGTTGTCCAAATTACATTATTTAGGGTTTATTCTAAATACTGTTACGTTGATTCGTAATTAAAATCGACGTGGGTAAAATTCAACAATATATTTCTCAGTGGTACTAATTTACATGGCTAACTATACAGAGATTATGTACAGAATAATTCCGATTGGACTGGAATGGATTTGACTAGACCCAAATTCTATCAATATTGACTGGACTCAACTAGCTTGCTTAGAGGTTTTTGGTGCCCGCCTCGCGACTTTAGGCAACCTCCTCCAGGTTTTCCTTTATGCGAATGCCGCCCGGCCACCCTCACCGATGATGAGTCACCCATCAACGCCGTACACACTAGAAAGCCTTCGAGACAACTCATATGTCGTACCGGGGCGGCGTATGGGTTTATTTCGTAACACTGCCCCCTCCTTAGTTTTAATTGTCCCGATCAAAAACGTCAACAGTATCACTGTTGTTCTTTTTGAGGCGGTCTAAATGAGAGTCTATCTTGTAGTGCAGCATTTCGTGAACGCTCAGCAGCTTGTCGTGTAAGCCATCGTCGTAGCCTTTGATCTTCTTCGTGTACGTGTTCCCTTCGTTGGTCACTGGGAGGGGACCCGCTTTGTCTCCTGCATTTCTTCCAAAAGGCGAGCCGACGTTGCGTGGTTGCATCGGCCTTCTCGCCTTAATCGTTTGACCATAGTACAGGTCGTACACTTCTTGCACCAGTTCTTGACGGCTTCTCAACAACAGACCCAGTAGAATCTGCCCCTGACTTTAAAACCCATCTTTTTGATTCCAAAATGAGCACCGGAACTTCCGTCATATTATATTTCTCAAAATAGAAATGCCTTCGTTCTGGTGGCCGCAACCACCAACTGCGTAGTGGAATGTTTCCCATCCGAACTCTCCCAAACTCGCTTAAGCAATCCGTTCTCGACACGCAGGGAGTCCCTCTGAGCCCATAACGCCTTGAAAGAGGGTGAGTCGTCTGATATTTCCGACCAGTCAGACCGTTCTACCCCAACTTTTTCCAATCTAAGGAGCGGCTCAATATTCACATCTTACTCCTGGTCTTTTCTAAACCGAGCTGTAGTCCATTCAATCATTTGTTACGGCTGCTTTCTTTCTGCGGTTGAACCGTGCCGTTCTGACAAGCGATCAATTTTACAAATTTCGTTTCAATACAACGCTGATTCAGCAAGAACTCTTTATCTCCAAGACGTAGAACTTCCTGTACTGGGTTAACTGACAATCCTTGATGGCTAATCAAATCCACTCCCAAAATGAAGTCACCTTCCATGCTAGCCCGATGTATTGAAATATCTATAGCTCTGCACCTCGCAGAGCTATCACCAACGCTGTAGCCTTCTGTTTTTCTTCCCAAGAATTTGATATAGCTGCTGCTTCAACTAATTCTTGTTTTTTATGCCCACGTGTCCCGAAAAACATAAAAAACAATCGAATGAATAATGGACGAGAATAAAACTAATAAGTAGGTGGTTAAATTGTTCTGGAAGCCGATGTCACACTATATGAACCATTTTTATTATCTTTTCAAATTTCGACATTTTGTTTTCTATTATATCTTCTATAATTTTCATTCGATGTTCTATACCTAGTTAAAAATTCGATCTTCCATTTTGTTCTGCATTCAATCTTATACACGTTCCTGCACTAATTTCTCGACTTCTTTTACTTTTTCTTCCATTGAGACCATATTTCGTCCGACAATATTCATAACTTCAAAAATCAAGTTCTTCATTTCATATTTAATTTCTGTTATTCCATTTTTGTTTGCTTCCATCATCTTCATCAGTTTGAGTTCTCGTCTCGACAGACATAAGTTCTTCCGAATTTTTGTCCAATCTGCTCGGAAATCGGCGTAAAACCAACCAATTTACGATATAATATATAGACTAGACTACAGTAGACTAACTATACAGCGATTATGTACAGAATAATTCCGACTCGACTGGAATGGATTTGAGTAGACCCAAATTCTCTCGACATTAACTGCCACTAGACTCGTTCCCAACGGTGGTCTCAATTTAAACGCATACGTCCCGTTTTTGGTGAACGCTCTTTGAGGTTATTACCCCTAGAGTACGAAAAAATAGGTCTCCCGTTTCCGTCTATCTGTCTGTCCACCGTCTGTGTCGATACTAGACAGTTTCGAAACTGCGGACAGACTGTTGTCATTTTTTTAAAATTTTATATGTGTATTATGAATATCATGTAGATGGTAAAACACTAAAAACTTTGCACCAACAATGTGATGAGATTAGCTCAAAATCGTACATGGTAAATGGGCTTTAATTTGTATAAAATAATATACTCTACTCGTGTAGTTTACTGAGACATTCTGATTTTTGAAAAAAAAAAAAAACAAAATTGTAAAACAACATTTTGGAATCTAATTTTGAATCCACAAAATCGAAAGCTTTGAAATGTTGCAGACCTTTAAAAGTTATCGTAAGCATGGTAAATTGTTAATAAAAGTATTTCTGTTTATTCCCCCACAAAACAATTGGTGACGTCATCTCAAAATTTTGCCGAATAAATCCTATCTAAAATGTGCAAAATATGATGAGTCTACTCTGCTTATACAGGTGACCCAAAAAAATAATGATGAGTCAATTTATTTTATTGATTAAATCATAAATGGCTCACTCCATTTTCCCGAAAATGTGGGAATACAGACTGTTTGACATTTCAAGGTTACAGCGTGTCACGATGAGGACAATCAGCATCATATTTGATTATTATTACTAGTTATTACGCTTATTCGGTAAAAGTCCGAAGTGCGGCAAAATTTTGTACCTACCTGATACCTTATAATCCCTGACCGAACTGCGGTAAGTGGGGGTTTTAAGGGTGGCGTCTGGTTCGGTTTCGCCCAATACTAAATACATTGAAGACATCGTCGTAGTTTCCGGAATTGCATTTTTAAAATACTGAAATCTCCAACCAAGTCACAATCTAAGTAAACCTGCATTCTGCTACCGCATCACAGCTCGTTTAATGCCGATTTCTCGTTTCAATAGATTTTGACATTTCGCGAGTTATTTACCTCAGTCGTGGATTTTTTAATATTATAAATGGTATCAAAAGAAAGCTGACACTTTTCCCCAGGGGACCTCCTATCTCAGAATGCAAAAAACTTCAACACTTCGTCAAAAAATGCATCAATGTGTCAAAATGTGATGTAAAAGTTGTTCAACTTTATAATTTTTTTTTTGTAAAAACTGCATACTAGATATATGGAGGTCCTCTGGACTGAAGTTTGTTAATTCGAAATATAATTTTATTAAAGCGATATATCTCATATTTTTAAAATACAACTCCGGAAACCGCGACGATGTTTTCAATGTATTTAGTATAGGGCTAAACCGAATCAGACGCCAGCCTTAAGAACTGAATAAAAATTTTGTAAATAACATGGATATGCTAATTATATCAATTTTCAAATAACTTCACTTTCTTTACTTTTCGTTCTTTTCACATATTTATTAAAAAACGACTCGTAGATCACATATTTACATAGATTTGTTTAATCACCAGTTAATGTTTATTAGTTAATAAATTAAAGCGATTGTAGCTTTATTTGTTACTGATATTATGTTTTTCCAAATGATATAATTTCTGAAATTGTTAAATAAAATCACCGTCAACTAAGCTAAAATATAACTGTGTAAATATGATCTTATTATCTACAATTGTGACATGATATTAGCAAATTTGTAGGTGACACATTTCACAAAATTATACCTTGAAATTTCATTATTTTTGAATTTAAGAATTTTAGATTCTATAAACATGTGTCTACAAAGTACATCTTTTGCAATACACCGTTTTTCGTTTTTATGCACAGAATTTATTTTTATAATTACCAAGATTACGCAGGTACTACTGGCGCAGTTGCGCCCTGCTCGCTAACCCCAAACGGAAATGTACCGCAGTTCGGTCAACTGTACATGACTATCTGATACTTGACCAAAATTTTTACCGCAATTCGGACAAAATTATCCATATACCTGCGTACCTGATATTTGAGCAAAATTTGCACCGCAATTCGTATACGACCCGTTTATTACGATTGAAATTTCAAAACTACCTGCAACGCAAGGGTTCCAAAGTTAAAAGGAGGCGACCTGACTTTACAGTAGCGCTGTATAAAAATGAGATAACAACAAATGTTCCTATCACAAAATATCAAAAAGTTTTCGTCAAAAGGGCTTCCCCAAGAGGACACCGAACTCGGGATGAAATGAATATCTTAATTTTTAACTTTCCAACATATAAGTAGTAAATAGTGAACTTTATTATTATTATTGACAGATAGATATTTTTATCGCAATATGGGAACTCATATGATTACAGATACAGATTATCTGATACTTTGGCATTCGTGTCAAAGGTTGCAACGTTCATTTATTGTAATAGGTACTCGATTCGTTACGTAGTTTACGTTGTTAGAGACACGTGCTGCTGATGTTGCGTGATACCGTTGACAATCGCAAAAGATGATATTGTTTGAAATAAGACAAATGGACCAATTAACGTGGCTGTATACTGTATCCTTTTAAAAAGATAATGGGAACGAATTCCTCGAAAAAAAAATCTCCAACCTATAATTATCTACATTCGTTGAAAAACAGTGAACTTGGTAGATAACGTCAAGGTTCCAGTTTGATTCATTTAATAATGTTCCTGTTACAATTTGCAACAATAAAGCACTTTGTTAATCACGATATGAAAAGCCGGAGCATGCGTATGGCCCCACAATGGCAACGCATTTACATTTTACTCGGAGTCGGCTGCTGGTAGTATTTTCCCGACTAGCTTGCTTGTAAACAGAGGCATCGAGGTTAAACAGCTGATTTTGACAGTGGTATTAATAGGATGAAAACGAAGCATTTTAAATGAACACAACACTTCCATTGTAAAAAGTGAATCGTACTTTCATTCATAAGAGTTTTAGTTAATTAGCCTTCACATTTAAATCAGAAATAAGTAACTATGAGTGCTGTAGCGCAAGTGGTAAGTTCGATGTTTATTTGTCGCTTTATTATTTTTTTTTTGGTACTTCCTTGTGTTGATGTATTGTGTATTATTGTTTTTTTTTAATAGTGGGGGGATGATTTATTTGATATTATTTTTTAAATAATAATTACTAAAAATACATAGGCATTAATAAAAAAAAAGCATAAAAAGAAATTCATGCTCGAAATAATGGGTGAAATAATCAATAGGTTCATCACTTCATATTCTATACTCAGTCATTGATTGACTCCTATTTCATCTTTCATACGTAGTAGAAATTCATGCAGGCGTTTATTCTTTATTTTGTAATTAATATACTTACTAGAAAAACAATCTTGATATATTTTTTTAATTTGTTGCGTTCATAAAATCATTGACGACACGCACAAGATCGGAATCAATACTAGTTAACAACAAAAGTAGATAATGTAGGTGTCAAGTTCAAGTTGTTACTAAGAAACCTTTAGCCGTTGTCCATATTTCATAATTATTATACTTTGAATAAGACAATAACAAAATGGAAAAAATGACCTTGTTTTATTTGAACCCGCACGCTACAGATATTAATGACGCGTGAAAGCTTCTTTTTAAAAACATGTATATATTGCACATTTTTTGCAAAATGTACCATCGCTCGTGATTAAAAAAATGCAGAGGCATAAATTCAGTAAGAAGTCACATCTCAGTGTTCGATTGTTCGTATTTATTATGAAGTTAATTTTATGATAATAGTAGGTAAATTTATGAAGCTCGATAAGATCCGGTAATCGTTTGCCATGTCAAGGTAAACTAAATTTCAAATAATACTCAGCGGGCTGTATACTCTCATAGATCACAACACGACATAAATCATTGTGCGATAATAAAACTTTATAACCTAGTTATATCATATTTGTTTTATTAGTACAAACACCCGAATGGAGTCTGACATCGTCCGAAATATATTTTTTATAAAAATTTTTTTTTCGTTTAACTAACAAATTCTAAAAATAACATTAATTAATTAGATCGTTTTAACATAATGCCAACGAAAAAAAAAATGAAACACATTATTGTATCGATTGTGACAGTTAAAATATTTACCGTTGTTGTTACAATTTTTGTATAGTTGTTGATGTATCTGACGTTCGTCGTAAACAACGGCCAGTGTAGCCTTTTAGATTTTGCAAATCTAAATAAGCAGTTACTTTGTAGACGGTAGGTAGATGATAATTTACGGGTGTCTATAAATTGTCTGTGAGATCTTCCATTTTGTTACTAATTAATAAGAATACTGATTTATCCATTTTAAGTGAACGGTGGATGACGTATTATAAATCTGGTTAATAAGGTTTACGTAATGGTTGCCTGTTGCTAAAAAGATCTTCTTTGTATCAAGTATTTCTATCAACGCACTCGCTCCTAAATTGTTAATAATTATTTTCAAGTTTCATTTTTGTTGTCTCGTTGGTTAGAAAGAATCAAATAACACCGCCCTTTTTTCATATTTAAAGCGACCCTTAACACATGTGATCAGAAGAAATGAATGAATTGCGATGTAGAGGGCTTTTCAGAGGATTCACTGTAGTCCATTTTTCATTGTGTCAATACAAAGCATTTTAGTTTTTCTAACGAGGGATCGAAAACTTTTTTAATTTTACCAACTGGTGTGGATAGTGCTCACGCCACTTTGATTGATACTTTAAACACGCCCCTGGAGGGCCCATAGAGCCTCTGGAGGAAATAGGGGACGTTTAATGAATATGAGGGGGCGACACAAGTTTGATTGTCACATTTTAATAATAATTAATCCATAATAAATTTTGACTTAAATTAAATGTCACTCTAAATTATGTCAATTTTGACAACTGAAACAGTACTTTAAGATTACGCTGTACTAGTGTCCCTATCCCTAGATATACTTTGGAAAAAATATATATTTTGACTTTTTTTCCTTAAGACAACACGAGACTGAAAAACATGTTTGTATTTTCTTGTAAAGAAATAAGTATTTTGCAGTCAAGCTTCGCTCCCTTGGTTCACGATGAATAAAAAAAATCATTACAATTGAGATAGGGGGGGTGGGCGGGCTTACATTTTGCCTTGTTGTTTTAATATGTGTAGACTTCATTTCACATGCAACTTAAAACATGTTTAAAATGGAAAATTTGTATGAGGAAATATTGATTTTGCATTTAGACTCCGCCCCATATCTGCAAAATCCATATTTTCTTGCAAAAATGTACCATCTTAACCATATTTTAAGTTTCTTGTTGTGAAAAGATGGCTATGTAAATTAAGAAAGAAAAAGAACAAAATATATACCCCGCCCACCCGCCCTATTTCAATTCTGATGATTGTTTTTATTCGTAGTAAGCCGAGGGGCGAAGCTTAATTAGAAAATCCTTATTTTTTTACGAGAAATAACCAATTTTTTTCCTTTTTCCTCTCGATCAGTAAATAATATTGAACTCAAATTTCTAGTTTTTCGGATTCTGATCTACTTTATTCTACTGTGAAAAATTTTTCCTGTACATCTAACGTTAGAGAGAGTTAGAGAGAATTTACCATGTGAAATATATTCTACAAAGAAAACTAAATGTATTAAATAAAAAAGAAAACCAAAAGAGAAGCCCCACCCATTCATCTCGATCTCAATCGTGATGAATTTTTCTTTCGTTGTCAGACCTAGGGGAGGAGCCTAATGACAAAATTCATATTTCCGCACAAAAATTTACCATTTTGAATGTGTTTTACGTTTCTAAGAATAAAAAAATCATCACACTTGAGATGGGGTGGGTGGGCGGGGTTTATACTGTGCCTTTTTTTCTTAATGTACGTAGTATTCTTTGAAGAACACGATACTCAAAAATATGTTTTTAATTTCTTGTAAAGAAATAAATATGTATTTTGCAGTTAAGCCCCTTGGTTCACGGCGAATAAAAAAATCATCACAATTGAGATAGGGCGGGTGGGTGGGCTTACATTTTACCCTTTTCTTTTAATATATGTAGACTTCTTTTCAGAATATGAAAGTTGAAATATGTTTAAAATGGAACATTTGTATTAGGAAATATCGATTTTCAAATTGGACTCCCCCCCATAATTGCAAAATCCATATTTCCTTGCAAAATGTACCATCTTAACCATGTTTTAAGTTTCTTGTTGTGAAAAGATGGCTATGTATATTAAGAAGAAAAAGACAAAATATAATCCCCGCCCACCCGCCCTATCTCAATTCTGATTATTTTTTATTCGTAGTAAGCCGAGGGGCGGAGCTTAATTGTAAACTCCTTATTTTTCTACGAGAAATAACCAATTTTTTCCCTTTTTCCTCTCGATCAATAAATAATATTGAACTCAGGTTTCTAGTATTTCCGATTCTGATCAACTTTATTAAAATGTCAAAAATTTTTTATGTAGGTACATCTAACGTTAGAGAGAGTTAGAGGGAATTTACCATGTGAAATATGTTCTTAAATAAACGTGTTATACAAAGAAAACTAAATGTATTAAATAAAAAAGAAAAAGCCAAAAGACAAGCCCCACCCATCCATCTCGATCCCAATCGTCATGAATTTTTCATTCGTTGTCAGACCTAGGGGAGAAGCCTAATTACAAAATCCATATTTCCGTACAAAAATTTAACGTTTGAAACATGTTTTACGTTTCTAAGAATAAAAAAATCATCACAATGGAGATGAAGTGGGTGGGCGGGGTTTATATTTTGCCTTTTTTTCTTAATGCACATAGTATTCTTTGCGAATTTTTCAAGATGGATATTACATCTGTTCTCTCCATTTGTTCAGTAATATCTTATTTTCGAGGCATTTAAACAATGAGAAACCATTTGCTTCTGTATTTCTACAGTTTCGTACACAACAGACGACGACTATTCTCTTCCACGCCTATGTACTAAATGACAATTACAAATTGTCAAAACATGACTCAAAAAAAACAGCCGTAGCCAGCATAGTAAAATAAAATTTACCATTAATTTTGACGTTTCGTGGCACAACTCTTTTCGAAAGTATATTTAGGGTCTCTACGCTGTACTATACCGAAAAAGCAATAAAACACAATCAAAAACAGCCATGGATTCTTGAAAGTGTTTTTGGATCGTTGAATTTTCAGTTCAAACTTTCAAATTGACGGTCATTTGACAAGACGAAAACTCTATCAAAGAAAAATCTTCAGAGCCGTGGGTGACTTTGATCGACATTAATAGTCACTCGGTATCTCCACTTTATAAAGGGTTATGGTTATGGTGCAAACATTTTTAAATGCATTTCTTTCGTCATATTTAGTAGAATGCGGGTTTGATGTGGTTACAAATTTTTTAAATAAAAAAAGGAATCGATTACAAATAACTGATCATGATGATTTACGGATATTATTGCCAAAAATTGACCATATTAATAGATGGTAGTATTGTATCAAAGCCATTCTACAGGTTAGCATTAGAATAGTGTATTTTGAAGTTATTCTTTGTAATTCGTATTGAATATTTTGTTTTATTAACAATAATAAATTAAAGTTTAGCATCTCATTAATGTCATATACGCATTGGTTGCCTAAAAAGAAATACGTTTTTAGAAAGTGGTTTGTTTATACTGTTGAAGAAAAATTATATGAAATAAAAAAAATTTGAACACAATTCTCTCGCTTCACAAATATAGCATATAATCAGTATTGGTATTGATTATTATAAAGTGTTTATCAGTAAGATTATTAAGAACAGAAACATAAGCGAAGGCGAAGTTTTGAAGTTTAATTTATTGTTGCTCTATTTAATCTCCTCTTAAAAACAGAAATAAAAAAAAAGAAAATGTCTTCGGTTTTTCTTTAGAAGCGAAGGATTTCGGTATAAATAACTTTATATTTGTGTTTATTGATATTCAGCACGCAACTTGAAGCCAGATTATTAAATCATATATTAATAGTGTAACAGAGGACACAAACTTATATATAGGGGACGCTACACATAAATGTCCCAGATAAAACTCCTTGAGAATGTG